GGCCCCCTTAAGCTTATTTTGTATCCCAGGCTGGTCTCCAACTCAGAAGGATCCTCCTACCTCAGCCTCCCTAGTGCTGGGATTACATGTGTGTTACTTGTGTGTGCCACCATGCCGGGTTTGTAAAACGCCCATGGGATGTTACCTGTGGTGCTGGGGATCAAATCCTGGGCCTTTTACACACTTGATGAGTAAGCTCTGAGGAGCCACATCCCCAGCCCAGACTCTTTCAAAACTAACTGAGGAAAAAAAAAAAAAAAAAAGGCCTATTCACTTCCCATTAAAGATCATTCTGCTCTTGTTTTGACTACTCAGTCTCTCTTTTTTGTTACATTGTTAGGAGAGGTTTATTTTTTGGTTTTTGGTGCCTAGGCCCCACCCCAGGGGGCTAAGCAAGCATTGTAGGGCTGAGCCAAATGCCCAGCTGGTTACACTGCTACACTCTACCTATCCTAGAAAGGATCTTAAATCCTTTGGGATGAGATAGAATAATATATAACTACTTTGAAGTTTTTCAAGTACATTGAACTACTAAAGGCATATTTGTAGTTATTAGGCCATAAGACCCATAAATGTTCCTTTCTTTTTTTGGTGGAACCAGGGATTGAACTCAGGTCCTTGCGCTTGCCAGGGAAGCGCTTATTCTACTGAGCCATCTCCCCAGCCCCCAAATGTTCCTTTTTGAAGACAGGTCTCCCTATGTAGCCCAGGGTGATCTTGAACTAAGGCAGTCCTGGTTTCAGCCTCCCAAATGCTAAAGATTACAAGCCTGTCTGTCCCACTATGCCTGGCTCATATTTGTTTTGTGTGTGGAGACGGAGTCCAGGGCCTGATGTAGACAGGTGCTCTTACCGAGCTACACTCCAACCTCTCTGCTCCACCCCTTTGCAAAAAAGCTTTTTAAAAAATTACCTTCCATTTAAGGGGTTTGGCTGAGAGCAAAACCACAAAATTTTAATGTATGGAGTCATGCAGCAAAATGAATGGAAAAATTAAAGCTCAGCTGGATGTCTCAATTGCTTTTTGTAAGATACCCAGCAGCATGACTTAGTAACCGCAACCGGCCCTGACAGCTTTCTTTCCAAGTCAACTGACACTGCCACATCAGTATGCACTAAGGATTAACAGTGGCTTGGAGCCAGACTGCATGGACTCAGTTCCCTGAATACCACTAGAGCTGTGTGATTTGGGAAGATTTTGTTTTCTCACTTAAAAAAATGGTGCTAATAAGACCACCACCTAAAATTTTTAGAACTTGGTATGTTAATATGAATAAGGGGCTCAGAACAGTGTCTGTGGCACTTTAAATGGACAAAAGGTCATAGCTTGGTAGGACTGATAGGCCACTTGGGATCCCTTCAAAACTCCACCCAGGGCTAGGGAGATAGCTCAGCAGCATAAGCACCTGCCTGGCAAGTTCAAGGTCCCAAGTTCAATCCCTAGTACTGAAAGAAAAAAAAACAAAAAACAAACTCCACCAAGCACACAGCTGTAATCCTGGCACTGGGGAGGCTGAGGCAGGAGGATCCTTGTAAATTCAAGACCAGCCTGGGCTACAAAGTGAGCTCAAAGCCAACCTAAACTGCATACCAAGACCCTGTTTCAAAAAGACAAAAAACAAACAAGCAAACAAACCAGGGTCAGGACAGCTGAGCAGCATCAGTGCCTGCCTGGCAAGCATGAGGACCTGAGCTTGAGCTCTAGTACCAAAGAAAAAAAGACAAGCAAAACCCTCTTCACCCACGCTGATGTGTTGCGAAGGAACTTTTTAATTGGCCTGTTGAGAAATGTTTATGTAAGTCAAACCTTTATTCAAAAAGCTTCTGTGAATGTTAAGTTTTGCACAGGCTTGATACCACACTTTAATATGAACTGGCTGCTCCTACAGCCCCACCGACTTTGTTAAATATTTATTGAAGGCCTATTTTATCATGCGCTGTGGTCAGTTTTAAGTACCATATATCACTCAAAACCAACACGTCTGCACTTTTTCCCCTTATTGCTTCAAATTATTGGAGTCAAAAAAAAGTTGGTTGATATTCCCAAAATGGCTTGTTGGGTATCACGAATTTAATGGTCATCGCAAGCACGAGCTCATCAGCACCTCGAGCCTGAACCGCTGAAAACCTCCAACTCTGCGGCTCCACCGGCTGCCGCCCTTCCCACAAGGAAAGCATCTCCAGGAGAGCAGAGTGACAACAGTTCAGTCCCACTCCATCTCTCGCTCCTCTTCAGGTAGGATACTCCAGTTTGGGGAGGCCACATTCCGTGCCAGCCAGTTGAAATCGTCAACGTCGTTCCAGTTATTTTTGCTTCTGTCTAAACCAGAACCCTCGAAGTCCTGGTCAATGCCCTCGTAGCTCCATGTATAAGGGGCAAAGCGGATTCCGCTGCAGTCCTCTACGATGGCCCTGCTGGTGACCTGCAGGAAGATGCGGGTGTCCCTGGTGGTGTGCACACGGAGCTGCTGGCAGGCCACGGCCAGCACGCAGTCACTGCAGTCCTCCAGGAACACGGAGGTGGACACCGGGCCGCAGAGCACTTTGCAGCCGCGGGCCTTGGCCAGCCGCAGGGTGTTGGGGTTGCCGTACAGCCGGACAGTGCAGCCGCTCAGCTCGCTCAGGAGGACGTCGCGTTGGCGCAGCTCATCGGCTCTCTTCTCCAAGACCTGGGAGTCGCGTTGGGAGAAACCGCAGCCCCAGCTAAGCCCCAGGACTTCCTCCTCCTTCGAGGGCAGTGAAGGGGCGGCGGCGCCTTCAGCTGCCGGCGCTCCGGCAGCCGCGCCTCCCTGGGAGGCCGAGGCACCGTCTTTCCTCCGCGCCTTGAACGCGAAGCGCTTCTTGGGTTGCAGCTCTTGGCGCCGCCCGGCCAGGGTCGCCTGCAGCTGCGTTAGGGCCTCCTGTCCCTGCCGCAGGTCGTAGGCGGCCAGGAACCTCACCGCGTCGTTCAGAAGCTTCTGCAGGCCCTGCAGCCGGGCCGCCGCCTCCTCCAGCCGTTCCGCCGACAACTCGCCTTCCAGCAGCTCCTGCACCGCCACGCGCTCCCGGGAGAAGGCAGCGACGAAGAAGTCGCTCTGCTCCCCTTCCACTACCTGGTCCTGCCGCTTCTGCTTCCGTCTTTCCACCTCCAGCTGCCGCTCTTGCTCTCGTTTTTGAAGCCGCTCGGGCACCAGGCTCAAGTCTTTTTGGGACCCCACAGACCCCACGTCCCTAGTCCCCACAACAGCTGCAGAACAGTCCGTGACCTCCATCTTGAATTCCAGCTTCCTCTCCCCACCCTTCCTTCCTTCCTCCGGGCGCGCCCTTCTCGACACCGCCCACCAACGCGCTATGGGATTGGCCGACCGCGCTGACGTCAGACCCGGGGCTTATCCTCTTCACCTATTGGTTCCTCCGCGCCAGAGGGGCGTGGCAGTAGGGAGTGGCCGAATGACAAGGGGGGTGGGGAGACAAAGGTCCTTGTGGATGGGTGGGGTAGGAGGCAGGCGGGGGAAGCTTTTTTTCCTCTTAAAGGGGCAGGACTTATATCCGGGATTGTGGGGTGAGTTGCAGCAGCGGCAGCTGCACATGTGGGTTTGTTTATAAGAACAAGGTTAGAAACTCGCAGGCCTCCCCCTCCCCCCAGCTCCTCCCCACTACCCCTCTACAGGCCGGAGATCGGCTCCTGGGCGGTGGGGAGCAATGGTGTGCTTGTACCGGGTGGGGGAACAGGCAGTGGTGAGGAAGATAGAGGGGGGGGCATTGCACCTCCCGGCCCGCGCCGGAGGAAGCGACAGCTGGAACAGCTGGCTGGGGAGCGGCTTGCATGCCTGCGGTGCTTCCCTTCCCTTCCCCCACCGCCTGCCGCCCGGTAACCTGCCCTACCCGCCCTCCCCCATCCATGGGGCTCGGCGCGGCCAGGGCTTGGGGTCCCTAAGGCGGCCGGGGATCGGGGTCCCTAAGGCGGCCGGGGATCGGGGTCCCCGCGGAGGGAACAGCGGGCTCCTCCCTGCCTCGGGCCCCGATCGCCGAATGTGTGGCCGGTGTCGCCGCTGGGAGGGTGGGGGAAGGGCGGGCGGGGCTGCGCCCTAGTCCCGGGTTCCCCGGGGTCCCACCTGGACTCCATTTCCCTAGCTGGGCTCCTCGCAGAGACCCCGGCCCAACTCGCACCCTGAGCACGGCGGTGGGAGACGGCACGACCCGCGGGGCGGTGGGGGGCGCTGTCGCCGGAAGTGGCCGCGCCGCCCGGGGGACGACTGGGTCCCCGACCGCGCAGCCCGCGCCGGGCCTCCGCCGCCCGCGCCTCCGGTCTCCCCACCCCTTATACACCCCGTTCCCAGCCTCCCTCGCTCTTGGTGGGGATGCTGATCGGCTCAAGAGCTGTCCCTGGAAGCGTCCCCGTGCACCTGCGTGTCCATGCAGGGAAAGCTGGGAGGAAACCCAAGCTGTGGAATTAAACCAGAATTTAAGACTCATCCTAATGTCCACGTTCCCCTGCCCCTCTGCCCGCCCTTTCCTAAGCATTTTTTAAAATGCAAAAACCAAAACGCACACAAATTTCCGGGTTGATGAGGTTATTCTTCTGCTGAGTCAGCACAGGTCACACCGTGTGGTGGCAAATTCCGCGCGGGGTAGGGTAGTCTCGCGTGTGTGCAGCGTTGTGTGTATGCAGCAAGTGTGTGCACGATGTGTGTGCACCCTGTGTGTACACTGTGCGTGTGCACCCAATGAAAGCCCAGTGCTGAAACACAGCGGGGCTTAGGCAGGCGCTTTTCATTCGTTGTTTCCTAGGTAAGATAGGTAGGCTTTTGCTTTTGCTTCCCCCACCCCCACACCCGGGGCGGCAAATGAAATAGTAATGATCTTCTCCAGGTCATATGGAAGAAAGCAGTAGCTGCTCTTTTAGGAAATGTAGACTTAACCGAAGCTTTTAGAGCTGATTTATTTTTGCTAGGGCTGGGGGTGGGGGTGGTCTGACCTGCTTCGATGAAGTTTCTCAGCAGCTGAGCCTGTCCCATTCAAGTTCATAAGCAAAGAGGGTTTCTTTGGCTTGGGAGTGAGCCAGAGTGAGGTAAACAGCAAATGGATGAGTGCTTGTGAGTGTGGAGCTGAGTGTCTTTAACCCTCAGGAACATCGTTTTTGCCCATCAGTAGGTTTTTGCAATAATCCAATGACTGGAAGATTCTGAATGTTTGAAGTTGACTAGTGTAAACTTCAAAGAGAAAGATGTAGTGGAGGACAGAAATTGGCAGGTGACCCAGCTGGCCCTGGTGTTGGGGGAGGCCTGAGCACAGTGGATGGGGTCAGGCCGAGGCTGTCTCTAAGCAGGCTTGACAGTCCTTGCATCCCTGCACAGCTGCAGGCCGAGGTAGGTGGTCCTGGCAAGGCCTGGCAGTAGGGAGGCTGCAAGGCCCTGGCATTGCCAGCTTGTGCTTGTGGCTTCCTTCTGACGTTTGGGGGCAGCGGAGCCTGCAAGCATCCCCGAGATGGATCCCAGCGCTTCACAGGTAAGTGCTTGTCCTGCTGGGAAGAAAGGGATTTGCTCAGACACAGCATCTTGCTGTCAGTGAAGGGCCTGTGTGAGTCAGGGCTGCTTGCTTATAGAGCTCTTGAAAAATGAAGGAATACTAAGGTGCTATGCACAATAACAATTATTTAACAACAATTTAAGTACTTTTGATTGTATTTGTTAATCTGATTTACTTTTTAACTTTTGAAAATGTCTAATGTAGTAAAGTAGAAAGAGTGTTACAAAAACTGTCTGCAGTTACCAACTGACAAGGGCCTGCAAGATAACAGTGGACTCAGCCCCTGCTTAGGCAAGTGCAGGCCCCAGGCCCTGCTCCCAGGCATGCTGAGCGGATGACCTAGTCTGGGCGTGGTAGTGCACGCCTGTAATCCCAGCACTGGGGAGGCTGAAAACAGGAGGATCACGATGAGTCTGAGCTGCGTAGTAAGACCCTGTCCCAAATACTTAACAGTTACTAACTGACAGTTTCATTCCTTCTAAAACCATGGTCCCATCCTGCCTTAATTATTATTATTATTGTTGTTGTTGTAATTTGTTTTTTTTCTGAGACAGGGTCTTGCTATGTAGCCCAGTCTGGCCTTGAACTCATAGCAATCCTCTCACCTCAGCCTCTCAAACACTGGGATTACAGGTGTGTGCCACAAAGCCCAGCTTTTGTTTCATATCTTACAGTCTATAAAATGTTTCATTATGTTCAAAAGATTAGAACTTTCTTTTAAGCATAATTACATTATCACATCTCAAAGAAATGTCTAATTTCATCATAATTCTTCTGGTTCATATTAACACCCCCCTGACTAGCCTATAATTCCCTTTTTTTTTCTTTTTTTGCAGAACCGGGGATTGAACTTAGATCCTTGCGTTTGCCAATCAAGCGCTTATCCTGTTGAGCCATCTCCCCGGCCCCTAATTCCCTTTTTTTTCAAAGCTATTTTATCAAAATTAGGCTTGTACCTCTATGCCTGTAATCCCAACCTCCAGAGGCAGAAGTATCATGAGTTTCTGGACAATTTAGCAAGACCCTGTCACAAAATTTAAAAAAAAAAGGAGGGGTGCTGGGGAGATGGCTCAGTAGAATAAGTGCTTGCCTGGCGAGCACAAGGGCCTGAGTTCAATCCCCGGTTCCTCAAAAAAAAAAAAAAAAAAAAAAGTTGTTGGGCTTTTTCTGTGTGTGTTTTGTTTTTTATGTTTGAGACAGGGTCTCATATAGTTCAGGCTGGAATGGAACTCACAGTGATCCTCCTACCTCAGGCCCCAGACGGCTGGGGTTATAGGTGTGTGCACCGCACCCAGCAAAGAAGTTGGGTTTTGTTGTGGTTGTTTATGTATTTGGTACAGGGTCTGACTATGCAGCTCAGGGTCGTAGTGACCCTCCTCTTTTTAGCCTCCCCAGCCCTGGGATTAGCCCTGGTGTTACTGGTGTGCCCTACCACGCCTGGTCCCAATGGCTGGCTCAGTGCACTCAATGGCTGGCTCAGTAAGTGGGGCTGGCACAGCATGTGGTGCTGGGGATCGAACCCTGGCCCCTGTGCTTGCCTAAGCAGGCATTTAGTCCACTAAGCTATCTCAAACAAGTTGTTTTGTCCAGACACGTTTTATCTAACAATCCTAACAAGTTGTGTGGAGTATCTGTGGACTATTATGTCGCTTAAGTCTCTTTGCCTGTGTGCATCCCTTGCTCTGCTGATTGTTTCGTTGAATTCACCTGGCCATTTGATGAGTTGAGTTCTAAGGCCTGGATGATGCTGGTTGCCTTCTCTTCAGGTATTTGTTGTTTTTTTTGGCTGGCTCAGCCCACCCTGAGGGCAGGGCTGCCCTGAATGTGGTGCTGGGAATCAAACGGCAGTCCCCTGTACCTGCCTAAGTTTGCCATCTGGCCGGCCCATCTCCTGGTGTTTGTTAGATTCAAGTCTGAATTGTGTTTACTTGGTCTTTGCGTGCCATAAAGTGATCTATTGGTTGTTATGTTGCCAGAGGAACTAATTAGGCCAGTACTGAGTACATTTAAGCTAATAAGAGCATCTCTGGGGATGGCTGGAAGGTGGAGGAATAAGGCCTATGGTGGTCTGTGGCATTTAGCAGAGGCCTGGAAGGTGCAGTATCCCACAGTGTTGAGGCAAGTGACAGACAGACCCGGGCTCTGGTTTCTAGGAATTCAGTGCCACAGGAGGCATCCCAGGTCGGTCACCCTTCAGCGAGCTCTGCGTACGCATGGGTGTAACGCGCTCACTAAAGTCTGTCTGTCAACATGTTAGGCCAGACTTCCTACCTTGCTTGTTGACTTTTCTGGCACGGACAGTGAAAGCTGATGCCTGCCCTGTGGTGTACAAAGCCCCACGTCATTAGTTAGCAGGACCAGCTTCCTCTGCCCCGGCTGACCTGCCCACACACGCTCTACCTCCTGGAACCTTTTCCTTCTCCTGTAGTTGCCAGCTCTGGGAGCCACCTACAGGTGCCTCTGACTCTGTGAACACCGTGCCCATGCTGGGCCAGGTGGCCCTGAGGCTACCAGAGAGAGAAGGAGACACGCAGGTAGGTGGGCATTTAGTCCACTAAGTGGTACAGGGTCTGACTGTGTAGCTCAGGGTCCCCAGCTGCAGGTCCCCTGTGGGTCCAGCAACCACACAAACATGTACACCTCCAACAGAACAACGGACAACTGTCAGATGGGAAAAGTGGCGCAGGCGTGAAACCAAGGCAGTGGGGTGGCAGGGCCAAGCGAGAGGAGCGCAGCGGGTACCTCAGGCTTGGGCAAGGGGCAGCCCGCGGGTGGACATCCCACTGTGGCATGCTTGGTGTCACAGGCCACCAGAGGCACCTGCAGGGCCTCTTCCCTTCCCCTCCCTCACCTGGCTAAGTGCCCTCAGCTCTCTCCCCGTGTGGCTCTCTCCCCTTCTCTGTTCCCTGGTGTCTGATGTGGCTGTCACCCCCCTGCCAGCACTTTGCCCCATCCTCCCAGCCCACCGAGCTGCAGCCCCTGCCTCACCTCCCACCATCGACGTCGCCCTAAACCAATGATGTCAAATAGCTGGCTGTGGTGTGCACGCAGTAGGTTCGCCATCACTGGCCTAACCCTAGCCCCAGCCCACTCACTTGCCTGAGGTCTTGCTGCCCACCCCCCTTTCTGTGGCACTGAGGATTGAGGCCAGGGCCCTTGCATGGGCTTCACCCCAACCCTTTTATGTGTGTGTGTGTGTGTGTGTGTGTGTGTGTGTAATTTTTTTTTTTTAAAGACAGTATCTTGCTAAGATGCTAAATTGCCAGGGCTGGGCTGGGCTTCAACTCGTGACCAACCTGCCTCAGCCTCCCAAGTGCTAAGGTCACAGGTGACCACCACACCCAGCTCTGGCTGCGTTTGTAGAATCAGCACGGAGTCCATGTGGGGTTCTCTGCCAGTGACTCGAGCTGCTGGTGAGCACAGGCAATGGCCAGGGAGCTTTGGGTCAAGTGAGAGCTCCAGCAGCTCAGCTTGGGTCGTGGGGACAGTAGCCAGGTGTGCAAGAAATCCGAAGTTACTTACTCATTTATTTTTTTCTATGCTATTTATGGCACCGTACATTTATGTCACTGGCACTGTTGAGCGCATTGGGCGTGCAGCAGGGAACAGGAGAGGTGGGAAAGTCCCTGGCTGTCTGGCAGCAGGACAACAGCTCTGTGCTTCCAGCAAGAGAACTTCGGACTGGCAAGCTGGCCCTAGGGTGCCCTTTGGTGTGGCACAGGCGATGTTCACCATCCCAGTGCCAACTCCCTCCCTGAGCTAATTAAATCCGAGTTGCTGGGCATGTGGCCTTGGCATTTTTAAAATTTATTTTCATGATGCCAAGAATGGTACCCAGACCTGGCACACGCCAGGCAAGAGCCCAGCCCCTGAGCTGCATCCCCAGACCATCCAAGGTTTTTAAGGCTCCATGGTTGCCTCCCAGAAGAACAGAAGTCTAGAGAGGCTGGAAGTGCTTGCGTCAAGAACGGCAGAGGCCAGCACAGCCCCCAGGGCCTGCTAGGTCCCCTCAGGACCTGTGCCTGGCTCTTAAAGGCCCCTCCAGCAAGATGGTGACAGCGGGACAGTATTTGCCCTTTTGCCCTTTACCCTAGAAGGGTGCTCTGTGCAGAGCAGATTCAGATGGAGCTGAGCAGGCAGAATTGTTAGAGGACTGTTGGAGGGGCCTGGATAAGGGCTGGAGGGGCTGCTTTGGTGGGGACAGGAGCTGGGGGCAGGATCAAGAAGAGAAGCTAGAGACACTGGGCTGCAGGGATCTTGGTGTCCGAGACAGTGGTCCGGGAGCAGGTGTGCAGGTGCTGCCAGCTTGTGCCCCACCTGTGACCCCTGCACATATGCACCCAAGGCAAGTGCTGTCCTGCAGGCTGCCTCCCCTTTCCTCTGACCTTTTGTGGCAGTCCCTAGGGGGGCCTTCACTGTTCCACCAAGAATGAGCTTGATTCTACCTTGAGCAGCTCCTGGGCTGCAGAGGCGACGATCTGTGCCTGTTAAGTAGCTGTGTGGAGGGGTGGAGAGGCTGGACGGAGGCAGGGCTTTCCCTGGAGTGTGAACAGAAGTGGGTGTGGTGGTGCACACCTGGCATCCCAGCACTTGGGTAACCGAGGTGGAAAATCATCGAGTGTTTAAGGCCAGCCTGGGCTACATAGTGAGTTCAAGGGCAGCCTAGACTGTGTAGTGAGACCGAGTCTCAAAAAAAAGTGGGTGGAGGGTTGGGGATGTAGCTGTGTGGCAGAGCCCTTGGCTCATTAGATGCATGAAGGCCTGGGTTCCATCCCAATACCAAGGAGAAGAACAAGTGGGGGATGACAGTTTGGGGCTTGTGTATAGCAGATAAGGATGAAGGAATCCAGGCCAGAGAAGGTAGGGTTGAGCAATGGGGCCAGAGGCCTAGTTAAAGAGGGGCCTGGGCTATTCAGCTGAGGCTGCGTGACACCCAGTCAGGTTCACATTCCTTCCAGGTCAGAAGACACATATGTCTC